TAGACGTAGATGACATATTGGCATAAGACTGATGCTTAAATTGATACTAATCCACATAAAAATACTGTAGAATATTGTGACTTTTTAAATGTTTTAAATCTTACAGGCATATAGCCAGACTACAATTGTTCAAATATCCTAGAAGTCTTAGCTATCTAATAAAATATCCTAATTCATAGTAGCCTTCAATTATATAATAATGTATTAAAAACCCAGAAGTCCAGAAGGCCATTATGACAGCATTTCAAGGCAAAGTCGTGTATTCCATATCTAACGCGTGATTCCAAATGTATATATTAATGAGGTGTTTATATCAAACATTCAAAAGACTAGCTATTTTGTTCCCAAATTTCATTGGCTCTATTGTTTTACTGAGGTATTATTATTCAAGCATCTTTGATATCTTTACAAGTTTTATTACTCAAAGCCTCTCTCTAACAATCACATCCTAAACACGTTCAAGGAAAAGTGCTATGTTAACATGGGTAATAGTAAAGTCATAATAAACAGTAAGAAAACTGCAGTTTTGCAAACCCAGGTTGCAAGATTCCATTTAACTTGATAATAAATATCTTAGGCAAATAAATATGCTCTCTTTTATAATGACTCCGGCAGAACATAGTTTTAGACTCCCATACTCCCTAGAAAGTATAAAGTCACAACTTTCTATATAGAAAAAATAACCACTCCAGGCCTTCCTAAATAAGCTAACACATAAATTACCACCATGTGTATTTTCTATTCACAAACTACTTAGGAAATCACCCATGACTTTAACAACCAGCTAAAGATTAGAGTTCCTTAATAAGAACTCTTCCAAAAATGACAGAAAATTCACATCTTCCATTGGCCAAAAACATCGCCAAAACACAACATTTAAGGGTTTAGACGATTTTTTTTTTACATTGAAAAGGAGAAATTAGAAATAGCCCCCAAAAATGGCTTTCTTACTAAGGAAATATTCTCATCTGTTCACAAGAAATATAACAGAAGAGAAATGTAACTCACATATAGTTTTCTAGGGTAACTCATGCTAAGCAACTAATTTGTCCCTATTATCCTTTAAAATCACCTTGACCAGCAACAGTGAAAACCAAATCTTAAAGTCGTTAAATCAGGACCAACCAATACTCCCTCCACTTGCAAATGCTGGGAAATAGTCCTTAGTATTGCATTTGTGATAATTCAATTCTCCTCATGGCAGCATGTCAAGATGTCATAAATAGTGATTTATTATTTCTCTAGAGTATCAAAAAGCTGCTGACCTAGGAGAATTTGACAAAGGCCTTGTTTACAAAGGAAGACTTCTAAAGGAGAAAAAAAAACAGGAAAACACTGGAGAACAGCACCACTTTTATAAGTCTTTTTATCCTCTTGCTCCAATACATAATAAATGTCAAAATATTACAGTAATACAAAAAGGATCACAATTACCTTTTAGAAAAGGATGGGATACGATTTTATACTGGCCTGTCCAATGATTCATCTTAAACTTCATTAAAAAAAATTTTAAATACTTCTCTGCAAAAGTGTTACTTTCTAGTCATACCATGGCCGGGAATACTTTAAACAGAATTCAAGCATTAACAGAGGCACTTTTTTTTTTTTTTTTTTTTTTTTTTCAATTCTAAGCCTCAGGTGTTTGTCAAAGCACTTTTCAAGAAACTTGACGAGAAATGCTCAAAAACCACTTTACAAACGAACAAAAGAAAAGATCTAAGGCTGCTTTGAACATGCTCTTGTGGTGAATATTTTCTGTGAAACACCACAGTGCAGTTAGTTCTGATGCTGGGCTGTAACTGATATAAGTCATAAGAGAAAGGCCGCATTGAAGGAAGCCCTCCCTCCCCCCCACCCTCTTCAAGGGTTCTGATACCCCACATTCCTCATCCATTTTAAATGTTCTTTACCAAAATGGCATCTCTCTGATGTCCCAAAGGTAGATGGACCTCTGATCTACTGGGCTGTTTTTATTTTTCCCCTCCATCTACCGAAATGAGTATCTTTTGGACCTAACAGGTGTCTCTAAATCCCCTCTTTACAATAGCAAACATTTGCATTGTTAAGGAAGCATCTGAGAAAAAAAAAAAAGAAAGTCCAGGAGAATAAAACAGCAATTAAGATTCCTAAAAGAAAAAGTATGTCTCATTTTGCATAACAATGCAGCCACTAGGATTCAAACCTGCCACGCCTCTTAACACTTCACCAGTGTGCTAGAGGTAGCCTGGAAGCATAAAAGTCCAGTGCTGGCCAACAAGCTTCTGGTAGTGGCCCCCCATATAGCAGATGGAAAATATCACTGAAAATATTTGAATGCAAATATGTAAGTATACACATACATAGCATTGGGTATGGCTTTTTAAATTATTATTAGCGTTCTCAGTGGTTTCGGAGTCTTTGGTAGTTGGATAGAAATTTTCTGCTACTCAACACCCAAGCAATAATCTCATTATTTATGCAAGCATTCTGTTCAGATAAGCAAGGCACACGACCAGGTGTAAATTTTAAGTCTTTTGAAATGGAAGTTTGAGATTCAACTCTACTATTATAAATTTAACATTTCTGCTATTCCATAACGCATAAATGTTAAAAGACACATACACACACACACACACACACACATTCAATGCAGCAAGCAAACTGTATCCTTAATGTCTTCCTTGTGCTCTAACAGTACACATACAAAGTCATACATGCCTACATAATGACCAGAAAGGAAACAATGATGACATCTCTCCAAAAAATTACTAGCCCGGGTCGCTTTGCTTTTTCCAAAGCACCAACCTCCATCAGGTTAGGGAGGAGGAAAAAAAAAGAGACAACCTTGCAAAACTCACCCAAAAGTTATATAAACAAAGGAGGGGAGAAGCCCAGTCTAGGCTTTGCACCCATGTGCTACTAAAATTACATAACACCCGGTGCAGACATTGAATAAGGAACGGATTCTGCAAACACCCCCACTCCCTCGACTCCCAAGCCTTCCTCATTCCCTTAAAAAATCCAAACGCCTAGCAAGAGCAAGTGGACGACTTTGAATATTTATTTTATTACTGGAGTAAATCCTGCGAGAGTTGGAGGTACGTTTAGGCCCGAAGTTTGAATGTGCAACAGCCCCAGGGTGCAGCGACTCACTCTCCGGACCCGGAGGAGAAAGAACTGACAAGCAACAGCAGCCAGCAAGGCCTTCTTCCCCCTCACGGTGCCTCCGGCTGGAAAGTTTTCCACGCAATCGATCGGAGGACAAGGAACCCACTTCCCCCGCCTGCCTGACTTTGCAGGAAAGGCGAGCAGGGAGACCGGAGGGGGCTCGCAGGGAAAGAACTGGAAAGCTCCGCACACAGCGGGCGGCAGGGCGGCGCAGGCTCCTTACCTGGAGGACGCGGAACAAAAAAGGGGCGCGGGGTTCGCGGCGCTTGGGGTGGCTGCGCGGCCGGGAACCGGTCTCCGCGCCGCAGCCCTAGGCCCGCGCCACAGCCCGCGGCCCGGCCCCCGCCGCCGCCGCTTCCTCCCTCGCGCGCGTCATGTCACGGCGATCAAACATGTCTGTGTGCGCTTCGCTGCTGTGACTTCCTGATTCTCCGCCGCTCGAGCGCGCACACACACACTCACAGCCACACGCACACGCCACCCCCACCAGCCCTCGCCACCAAACCTCGCCTTGTCCTCCCCGGGCTCCAGGGGTGGGTGCGGGCAGGAACGGCTACCAGAGCCGCTGCTCCCGACGCACTGGCCCTGGCGCGTACAACACACACTCACACTCACGCGCAGACACACTCCCGCGGGCCGGGAGGGCGCGGAGACTCGAGCCGCGGGAGCTCGCCGCCCCCTCCCACCCCTCCACCCTACTTAGCCGCCCTGCCAAACTTTTTTTTTTCCTGCCTGATCCACGTCCAACTTCCCTCCACCCCACCCCCCAAGCAGCCCAGCCAGCCCCGTGCTCACCACCATCCGCAGCAAACAGCAACCCGGATAAAAATAATAATGCAATCCAGGCGGCGGAGGCGGAGGCAGAGGCGAGCGATCAGACACTGGCAGGAGGCGATTTCCCCGCGTGTACCGGAAACCGGCCCAAGTGCCCCGGCCAAGGCGCGGGTGTCCCCTGGAGCCCGCACTGCCGCGCCCCGCCCAGCGCGCTGCAACTGCCCCCAGGCTGCGAGGCCTGGTGCGTTGCACCGGGGGCACTGTGCTCAGTGTGCGCCCTGTGGCCGAAGGGCGCCGAGGGGCCGGCGCGCCGGACCGGTTATTTAGGGAAGTGCATCGCGACACCTTTGCAGATGGCATGGCCGTGTTTTGCAACGCAAACGGGAGGAGGGAAGACGGCCGGGTGGAGGGGGAAAGCAAAGGAAGGGGTAAACCAGGTTGGGATGGGAATAAAGCAAACTCCTAAGCAGGGAGCGAGAAGGCAGGAGTGCGTGTCATCGCTAGGAGGAGGCTCCTACCAGGTCTCCCCGCCTCCCGCCCTCGCCACCCCCCTATTCCCTCCCCAACGCAGCCCTTCCCCTCCCCGGGCGAACGCCACCGCCGCTGCCCGGTGGTGCGCGGGTCCTGTTTGTGACAGGCAGAGAAGATTATCCGGATCATGGCCTCCCTTGGCCCGCAGCCGCCGTAGCTCTCCCGGGTCCCAGCGCGCCCCTAGCACCCGGACGCTCGCAGGCGCCCCACGCCCGCAGCTCCCGCGCCCCTAGCCAGGGGAAGACGCGAAGAAAAAGAACCACAGACCGGGGGAGAAGGAGGGCAGGGTCACGGAGCCCGGCAGGCATCTCCGACCTCTTTGGGGGCCTCCTCCTCCCCTCCAGCAGTGCGGCCCGGGCCGGACATCCCGAACTTCAGCACCCAAGCCTGGGCTGCCGCCAGTTACCAGGGGCAAGGACGTCCGCAGCGCCCAGGGCGCAGCCCCCCTGGCAGCCCCTTTGCCTAAAGGCCTGCCTACCAATCAGCGTCCCCATCCCCGCCGGAGGAAAAGCGGAAAGTGGAGATGACACCTCCGATCAGGCACGCACCGGCCCCGCGGCAGCGGCCGCCGCCTCCTCTGCGCGTCAGCTCAGGCTTCTCCCGCTGTGATCCGCTCACGTCTCCGCAGCCGGAGCCCTTTAAACAAGTCCCTGGGAAGCGGGTGGCAGCAGCGTTCGTTGGCGCCCCGCCGCCAGCCTGGGCTCCTCGCCCTCCTTTCCCGTTCCCCTTCCAACTCTTCCGGGGAGGGTCGCTCGGGATGAATAGTAGCGTTTCCATCCTCCTCCCCGGTCCCCCAGCCTTCCCCCTCTCCTGCTTGCCACCCCGCCTCGCTTTTAAGGGGATTGGGGAGATTGCCACCTGGCCGAATGTGTGTGTTGCAACCTTGAGTTGGCAGCGCATCTCTGACTACCTACTCAGGATCAAGGCTGTGGTTTTTTGGGATTTTCTTCCTCCTTTGCCCCCTTGAAGTAGTAATTATTACTGTAATTATTAGAACAGCAAGGTTCGGCTGAAACTTTCTCGTTTCTTCCACCGCCGCCTGGGAGCTGCCGTTAGAGCATTCCACCTGAGGCCCGCGGGAAGGAGGCGGGCTTTTTTTTTTGTTGTGGCGGTTGGCCCGCCTGTTTGTTTTGGTCTCCGTGCATGCACAATAAATAATAATTAGGATAATAATGAATAATCCCGGGGAAGGCGGCGCGGAGCCGGAGGGGTTTGCGCGGCGGCTGCAGCGGGGCGGCCGAAGGGAGGGGAAAGAGGAGAAAAGAGTTGTAAGTTATATTTACCTTGCTCGCGAGGAGTGTGCTGGCTCAATCTCTTCCCTCTCTGAGTCACCCAGAGTACAGAAACGGAGGGAGAGAGGACTAGATTATGAATATGACTTCATTGATGACAGCCGTCCCCTCCTCTTCCTAAACTCGGGCTCCGCCCCGCGTCCCACCCTCGCCTCCTGCACGGGCGCCGGAAGACGCGCGGCAGTTGGCCCCGCGCGCCGCTCCTCCCTGCCCGCCCGGGCGCGGGTTGGCGGGACGCGCCTGTCACTCGCCCAGCTCAGCGACTCCGGGAGCGCGGGGGAAAGAGGGGGCGGTGTGCAAGAATGTGGATCGAGACAGCTCTACTGTATGCGTGGATCCGTGTGTGTCTGCAAGGCGCCGGCTTTCGGGCCGTGTTTGTGCCTGGAGCAGAGAAACTGCGTAGGATGCAGAAAGCCCCAAGCCCTGCTGGAGTTGGGCGCCCGCTATCCCTTCCTGGCAGTCTTCTTCCTCGGGCGCTGCGGGGCTCCTCCGGGGAGGCTGGGGAGGAGGCGAAGCAAAAAGGGAGGGCAGCCGTAGTAATACCGCGTAGTAGTTTGGGGGTATGTGGAGAAGGTGCTGGAATTTAACTGTGCCTCCGCCTGCCACTGCGAGCCTGCAGAGAGAAAGGGAGGGGACTGGGGGGAGGGCTCCGAGTGGCACCAAAGCTGTTTGTGACACAGTGTTGACTGTGGAAAAACGGGCATTGTCGTGCCGGCTGAAACTTTTTCTCCCCCTTCCCCAAGGCTGTCTTGATAAATCTGCCCCCTATCCCCTGTAAAAAAAAAAAAAAAAAAAAAAAGGAGGCGGGCACAAAGAACATTCCTGCCAAATCTGTCTCTTCTCCGAAGGGACTGCAAGCTTCCAAATGCCAACGAGGGAGAAACGGCTGAGAGGCTGACCGCCTTATAAATAAGTAAACCCGCCCTAACCTCTCTGTTTACTTCGTGGACTAGACATAGCACTGTAACCTTCCCTCACCTGCCATCTAAGCTAAAATGTATACAAAAAGGTGGGAAAACAATCCCGTGAGGGCGGGGCTGGTGGGTTAGGGGGTGGCTGAAGCATGAAATCTGGTTTTGATTTAAGAAGGGGAATAAATCTCTTATTCTCTACAGACCGTGGTCTCTTCCCTCTCACCCCGCGTTTAAGACCAATTAAGGCTTCAAATTGTAATCTGCTGGCAAGTCGCGGTTTTGAGACCTCTTTGCTCCAATTTTCCTTGAAATACAGTACTTTGGCCGGACCAATAGGTCAGTGTTTGGTGAGACAATTTTATTTTTAGTTTTATGAAGTGTGAAAGAATGTTAGGAGATTTTAAATCAGGGGGCTATTATTTTAGACTCAGATTAATGTAGGTGCTTGACTCAAAATTAAAACTGTTCCTATGCAGTAGTGTTATGAAAAGTATGATTTATCCCTTATTTCGTAATGTAATGGCTAAAATTAGTCATTCAAAGTGCACTGTGACTATCTGGTTGAGGATTTTTCCCCCAGAGTAAAATCTTATTTTAAGACCATTTTACTGTTGCAAAATTGGCTCCATTTGAGCAACTGGGTCTGAAATGCAGTTCTAGGATGCTTAAAACTTCAGGCTGGATAAGTTGAAGACAGGATAATGGAAAGAACACCAAATACTGCATGTAGTCATTAAGAAAGCAAGAATTGTTTATACCACTGGTTCACTGCTGGCTGAAGCAGAGCCCACCAGGGCATCATTTTCATGATGGCTAGGAGTGTTGGTGATCATCCTCCCTATAACTTTCTAAGGTCATGTTACTTGCTTGTTAACTTTAGAGTCATCATTTTCTGTCTTGAAGTGAACCTCAAGACAACAAAAGATAACACAGCTAAGAGAAGTAGAATATAGTATGCCCTGAAGGATCCATTGTGAGAACTTGCTGTTCTGCCTGAGGATATGCCAGTATAACTATTAACTGGGAAATATATAGTGAGAGATTTTAAAACAAGATTAGTAGTGTAGTAAAAGTGTAACAGATACTTTTTTAACTGCCTAATAAGTTGCAACTAATAATATAGCCAGATAACCTCACTGTCTCTAATAAAGAGCTTTAACCTAATGGCAATGCTTATTACATTGAGAGTATTAGGTATCAATCTTTTAGGGTCTGATGTCTTTCCCTGGTATGCCAACCTCACATGACAATTTTCAGAAATTGATGACTTCACATTTATTCCCTTGTGAATAAATGCCCTTTATCCCCTTAAGATTCTACCTCCACTTACCATGCAAATCCTCAAAAAAAAAAAAAAAAAAAAAAAAAAAAAAAAAAAAAAACAATTAATTAGTAAGTCACTGAAGAAAGAAACTGTCCATTCATTCCTTCATTCCTTCTGGCGTTTTGGCAGAGGGAAAGTAAAGAAACATTCCCCTTGTTATGTGTGTATATTTTTCAGCTCATATAAAATTTTGATGTCATACTAGGAGGGGTTGGTATCCATGTATTATATACACACAGCTATGGGAACTGAAAATATATCATTGGGAACAGAGATTATATATAGATATTACATCTCCCTCTCCCTTCACATTGGTCTAAGAAAGACCTACCTTTCCCCATCACCCTTCAAGTCTTTCTTCTAAAGATTCGTCTTGTCTATAGTTTGTACCCCAGCAGTTAGGAATTTCATAAAATAAGGCCCAAACTCAGGAGAAATGAAAAGGCAGCATCATTCACTTGGTACAAAAAGAAGATTGTAGAACATAAAGCATGAGTTTCATGTCTGAGGTAAAACGAAATTTAACAATTGAAGTTAAGGAGGAAAACGATGGTTTCTTTTCTGTTGTTGTTTTGTTTTGCAGAAAAGCATACAAAAGCAAATGTGGTTAGAGGGTAAAAGGACTCCAGGAGGCTGCACAGGAGCTACATTCACATGAAGCTTTTCTTTTTCGGACTTTGATGAGTCATAATATGTTCTCTGAACTTGCTTTTCCCTTTCTAGTTTGGTTTCAAAAGATAGAAGTCACTTTTTCATGTCTGTAAGGCCACAATCACTAGTTATGTAAGTCTGCTTTGGTTGGCATTCTGTATAGAGTAGATATTGGGTTTAAAGCTTAATATTTAGATACAGCACCCTCGTAAAGAAAAATTCCATGTACAAAGTTAGGAAGCTTCTTGTCCCAACAGAATACCACCATTCCTCCAAAATACCACCCAAATTCTCTTTATGATGATACCACTCTTAAGCTTGAAATCGATTGTCTATTCCCAATCCATTTTACGATAAATTTCAAACTTCTTTGCCTATTATCGTAGGCTGGGCTGTGCATAGACAGGTACCTACCAGCGTTTTTGCCCCACCCCCACCCCACCACCAGCCAAAATGCCTGGGGTCAGGGAAAACCCGTCCACTGTTTGGTTCCTAAGTGACCACACTGGACATTCTTCCCTCTGACTGAAGTGCAGGTCTCAACCCATATCCTCAAGACTCAGCTATGACCCAGAATCCTTCCAGTGGTCTTCCCTTTTCTCCCCAGGCAGAGGAAGCTGCTTGTCCTCCTTTGCTCCCATAGCAACCAGTGTGTGCCTCCATTATAGCACTTATCACTTTGATGCAATTATTTGTTTGGTGGTGTCCTCTAGATGGTTACTGCCTGGAGGGTGTTTCAATTCATCTTTGAAATCTCAGCAATTAGCCTGATACCTAGCACATTGTGTTGTAAAAAAAAAAAAAAGAAAGAAAAGAAAAACTATGTTGAAGGAAAGGATAAGAGATAGATAATAAAATTATCGGACATAGAAAATTTAGCAGGTCTTCACTATTAATAATTATCATGTTAATGAACAACATCAATAAGTGTTCTGAATCTTTATCTGCCAAGTTGAAAAGCTTGGAAAATGTTTTTGGTTTTTGTTTTGTTTTGTTTTGGGGAGGAGGAGGTATGAAGATAAAGAGAAGCTACTGCTCTTGTAGTCATAGAAAGAACACTGACAAGGGCCATGAGCTGTAATCCCAGTACTTCGAGAGGCTGAAGTGGGCGGATCATGAGGTCAGGAATTTGAGACCGGCCTGGCCAGCATGGTAAAACTCCATCTCTACTAAAAATACAAAAATAAGCTGGGCGTGGTGGCAGGCACCTGTAATCCCAGCTACTCTGGGAGGCTGAGGCAGGAGAATCATTTGAACCCAAAAGGTGGAGGTTGCAGCGAGTTAAGATAGCCCCATTGCACTCCAGCCCAGGCAACAGTGTGAGATAAAAATAAAAATAAAAAAAAAAAAGAAAGAGCACTGACAAGAAGTTTTGTTTGTTTTTAAATTAATCTTGGGGTAACTTGAATGAATACCTAGCAATTCTTTAATGGAGTAATAATAATTATCATTGCAGCTCCCTTTTATTTCTCTTTTAAATTACATGCCTGAAGTTGTGCAGAGACTTGTACATATGTTGTTTAATCCATTTAAACTGATGAGATATATGACTTCATCTCCATTTTACAGATAAGGAAACGGAGAAGCAAGAAGTAATTTGCCAGCTGGGCGTGGTGGCTCACGCCTGTAATCCTAGCACTTTGGGAGTCCAAGGTGGGTGGGTCACCTGAGGTTAGGAGTTCAAGACCAGCCTGGCCAACATGGTGAAACCCCATCTTAAAAAAAAAAAAAAAAGAAAGAAAAAAAGAATTTGCCTAAGGCAGGGGTCTCCAAAGTGGAATGACCAAGAAAATTTATTGCGATATAGGAAGAACAGAATAAATTCTATTTCTGTTTTCTTTAATGATTAAAACAAATAATGATGCAAGGACAAAAAAAATCGCTTTATGTATATTTATTATACTCATTGATCCTTGATCCTAGAGTCTTCACATGGTCTCTAAGTAAACTGGTCATGTGTCATGTAGTGTAGCTGAAGAATACTGAAAAACAAAAAGTTCCACAGGCAAAAGGGTGATACTGGCACCTTCTGTTTTTTTCATCGCTATTGACATCTTTTGAAGCATTGATATTGCCTCAAGTTTGCAGGTTCCACATTAAATAAATTCATAAGATTATAGCATCTAGTTTTAACCAGTCAGCTCTCTTATTTGGGGAGCACGTGACTTAAAAAAACAATTTCTGTGAAGAAATAGAAGATTGAGATAATACCAATAATATAAACACAGGTGAAAATCAGGATCAAATTTGCCAGTTTAACTTCTAAGAACTCTTTTCCAGCCAAATTGAGGAGTAAAACAATGATAGTCTACTTAGATCTACCAGGAAATAGGTCAAAAACATTGACAATTTTCCACAACTATTTGAAATTTGGATTTATATTAACTGCCATGAATGATTAATTCTGATCTGAGCCTGAATTTTTCCTTGAGATACTATTGATTGTATAATATCATGATTAGCAAGATAATTGAAAATTTTCTGTTATAGTCATCTAACTCTTTTACGATTTTTATTTTGTGTATGTTTTATAATGCATATGATATGTTAATATTGAATACATGTATTATGAATAAATATACATAAATCATGTTCTATCCTTTTTTTTTTTTTTTTTTTTTTTGCTTTAGGGAAATGTGATCATATAACATGGAGATGACTAAATAATGAAGTCAGAATTTTTTTATTTTATTTTATTTTTTTGAGACGGAGTTTTGCTGTTGTTACCCAGGCTGGAGTGCAATGGCGCGATCTCGGCTCACCGCAACCTACGCCTCCTGGGTTCAGGCAATTCTCCTGCCTCAGCCTCCTGAGTAGCTGGGATTACAGGCGCGCGCCACCATGCCCAGCTAATTTTTTGTATTTTTAGTAGAGACAGGGTTTCATCATGTTGACCAGGATGGTCTCGATCTCTTGACCTCGTGATCCACCCGCCTCAGCCTCCCAAAGTGCTGGGATTGATTACAGGCTTGAGCCACTGCGCCGGACCCTGAAGTCAGAATTTTTAACTAAGCTTGGTAGAACTCCAGACTCAGAGTGATCTGTGTTGCTCATGTGAAAACTGCCCCCAAATTTGTCATCAGTACAGGGTTCTTAATCCATGATGGAGGGTTAATGGGGGTGGGATACAAACGATCTTTGGAGCATTTAAGAATTCCCTGAAACTGTGTTCAAAATTCTAGGATTGTGTTTATGAATGCTTTCTGCAGACAGAGTCTGTACATTTCATCAAGAAGATCCCTCAAGGGGATCTTCCCTGAAAGGGGTAAGAATCACTGACCCAGAGATAGCAGCAGCCTCAATAACCTAGGATAATTTTCTGATAAATTAATCTTCTCCATAACTTTTGTAAAACTAAGT